TACTCTGTTCTCAGCGACAGTTGCCTGCTGTCAGTAAGCTGGTACAGAAGGTTGACGAAAATTTTTACTGAGCAAGAAATAACCTTATTTTAATTACTAAAATTTGAGAAATGTGATTCTTGACTGGAAAAATAGATGTGTCGTGGAGGCCGAATGTTTGCACCAACCAAAACCTGGCGCCGTTGGCATCGTAGAGTGAACACAACCCAAAAACGATATGCCATCTGTTCTGCCCTGGCTGCCTCAGCCCTACCAGCACTGGTCATGTCTAAAGGTTTGTAACACTTGTATTATAAAAGAGTTTGATAGAAGAAATAAGACACCTACTGTTTGATGATTAGGGTGGTGGTTATTCACAGTAACCCATTTCAAGATGGCTAGAAGAGAATAATTTGAATGTTTTTAGCATAAAATGTTTTAGTTAATGGATATTCCAGTTGACAAATGAGGGCATTCAGTTATTAAATGTACTCCAGAAATACATGTTACATACCAGTTTAAAAAAATTTTATATCAGAGTGATACAAAATGCCCCACTTTTCTTTCACATGAATGTTTGTTAAAATTGCACATTCTTTTCATCCTGCAGTGTCTGATTAAATTTTAATCCTTTACTAAATATTGGGTCTGACTACTTAAATCTGACAAATCAATCAACAGCGAATACTAGTTTAACTGGGGAACTAATTATTCAAGTAGTGGTTTAGTATAATCCTTAGAAAACTGTCTACTTAAACTTGCCTATTATGTTCCCCACCGCATTTTTATTTAACTGTCAAAATGATGAGATTCCACTTAATTGGTCCGTGTTTCTGAAACACATGATATTTGTGGAAATTCTGACTTGGCAAATTGAATGCCATTTTGCTTTTATTGGTTGTATAAAATGTTTGATTTTTGTTTTTTATTTCCCAAAAGGTTCAGGATAACCAAGTAAGTGTCAAATTGGTTTTTGTTAGGTCATCGTATTGAGGAAGTTCCTGAACTTCCTTTGGTAGTGGAAGATAAAGTTGAAGGCTACAAGAAGACCAAGGAAGCTGTTTTGCTCCTTAAGAAACTTAAAGCCTGGAATGATATCAAAAAGGTCCGTTTAATGAACACATTTACAGTTTGGTACTCCTTGTTCACAATTTGTCACTTTGAATTTCAGAAGATAAGGGTGGTATGGCTAAGCCTTAATGTGTGAGAGAACAAGAACCTCAGAGCCCAATTACTTGGGTTTAAATCCTAACTGCCGTTTAAGGCTCTGTGTAACCTTGGCAAGTTATTGTGCCCAGTTTAATCATCTGTAAAATGGAATTAAGACTCTGAAGATCTATTGGAGAAATTGTATCTTAATCAAAATACTAAAACTGCTCACTTTGTAGGTCTATGCCTCTCAGCGAATGAGAGCTGGCAAAGGCAAAATGAGAAACCGTCGCCGTATCCAGCGCAGGGGGCCGTGCATCATCTATAATGAGGATAATGGTATCATCAAGGCCTTCAGAAACATCCCTGGTAATTAAACTGCTTACATATATTGACTAGGTATAGTCTGCAACTCTACTCAGCTTTTGTTATGATGAGATTCCACTTCATGGTCCGTGTTTCTGAAACACATGATTTTGTGGAAGTTCTGATTTATGGCTGAAAGAGTTGCACCATTGATGGTTGAAACTTCGTAATTAATAAGTTCTCAGGTACCTTTTGTAGCTCTTAAGCCATAAAGATGATTTGTGTTTCTTTTGTTGAAATACAGGCTCCCTAATGTTTCTTTCCCTTTAAAAGGAATTACTCTGCTTAATGTAAGCAAACTGAACATTTTGAAGCTTGCTCCTGGTGGGCATGTGGGACGTTTCTGCATTTGGACTGAGAGTGCTTTCCGGAAGTTAGATGAATTGTATGGCACTTGGCGTAAAGCCGCTTCCCTCAAGAGTAACTACAAGTGAGTATCTTTCATATACTAAGCACAGATGTTTATATTGTGGATATTAACATTCAGAATTGGCTTACATGTTTTCTAGATAATTTTGTTCCCATTTGCCCTTATGTGCAGCAACAATATGCCAAAATGGAACTCATCTGGTCCGTGTTTTTGGTTTTTGTTGGTTTGGTTTTTGAGACAGTCTTGCTCGCTCTCTCCCACGCTGGAGTGATCTCGGCTTACTGCAGCCTCCACCTCCCGGGTTCTTCTGTCTCAGCCTCCCGAGTACCTGGGAATACAGGTGTGTACCACCACACCTGGCTAATTTTATATTTTTGTAGAGTTGGGGTTTCACCATGTTGGCCAGGCTGGTCTCGAACTCCTGACCTCAGGTGATCCAACCGCCTCGGCCTCACCAAGTGCTGGGATTATAGGGCTGAGCCACTGCACCCGGCCTGGTCCATGTTTAATGAGAAGCGATAGTGTAGTAGATATTTTGGAGAGCATAGTGGTTAAAAATAAAGCTTCAGTTGAGCTTCATGTTCTTTGGTTGATTACTTTTACACGTACATGTCAATCTTTCCCTTTCAGTCTTCCCATGCACAAGATGATTAATACAGATCTTAGCAGAATCTTGAAAAGCCCAGAGATCCAAAGAGCCCTTCGAGCACCACGGTAAAGTGACACTTAGAGTGTAATTCTTGCCCTAACCGTATACTATTGGTTGTTTCAAAAATTTGTATGTGTATAAAGTTAAGTGTTGATCCAGTGTCTGCCTTTTTATAGCAAGAAGATTCATCGCAGAGTCCTAAAGAAGAACCCACTGAAAAACCTGAGAATCATGTTGAAGCTAAACCCATATGCAAAGACCATGCGCCGGAATACCATTCTTCGCCAGGCCAGGAATGTGAGTGGTTTTGTTGTTGTTTGTTTTAGACGGAATCTTGCTCTGTCACCCAGGCTGGAGTGCAGTGGTGCAATCTTGGCTCACTGCAGCCTCCACCTCCCAGGTTCAAGCAATTCTCCTGTCTCCGCCTTCCGAGTAGCTGGCACTACAGGCGCACGCCACCATTCCAGCTAAATTTTTCATTTTCAGTAGAGACGGGGTTTCACCATGTTGGTGGGGCTGGTCTCAAACTCCTGACCTCAGGTGATTCACCCGCCTCAGCCTCCCAAAGTGCTGGGATTACAGGCGTGAGCCACCGCGCCTGGCTGGGTTTTTTTTTTTTTTCTACTGATACATTAAGTTCTTAGAATAATTTGATTCTTACTGTTTTCTGCCTAATTTGTTGCAGCACAAGCTCCGGGTGGATAAGGCAGCTGCTGCAGCAGCAGCACTAGAAGCCAAATCAGATGAGAAGGCGGCGGTTGCAGGCAAGAAGCCTGTGGTAGGTAAGAAAGGAAAGAAGGCTGCTGTTGGTGTTAAGAAGCAGAAGAAGCCTCTGGTGGGAAAAAAGGCAGCAGCTACCAAGAAACCGGCCCCTGAAAAGAAGCCTGCAGAAAAGAAACCTACTACAGAGGAAAAGAAGCCTGCTGCATGAACTCTTAAATTTGATTATTCCATAAGGGTCACATCATTTTGGACAGCTTCTCTTGAATAAATACCTGATCATACAGGCAGTGAGAAACATGGCTTGTTGGTGTGTTCTGTAAAGCTTGGTTATAATTTTTTTAAAGTGACATTTTGTTGGCCATAATTTAGACTGTTCCATTTTATACTGAGTCCATGGAGTTCAATGGAAGGGGAATGATTAAAAAATTACGATTTTTTAAAATAATGTGGCTTAAAAGTAAGTGTAACAGGACTTGGTGAGAAACGCAGAGGCTGTTCAAGTTTAGCTCCCCACCAGGTGGAAAATAGGTTAAATTCTGTAAATATTTAACACTTTAACCACAAGAGGGCACAATTGGAGAACAATTTTTTTGGTACTGCAGTAAAATTGATTACCTTTTGAAAAGTGTTCTTTTTAACCAGCTATGACAGTAGAGTTGAATATTTTCACCCATGGTTTGAAAAAATGCCAGAAGGCCACACCTGTAATCCCAACACTGGGACCCTAAGGTGGGCAAAGCACTTGAGGCCATGAGTTCAAGACCAGCCTGGCCAACATGATGAAATTCCATCTCTACTGAAAATAAAAAAAAATAGCTGGTCATGGTACACGTCTGTAACCCCAGCTACTGGGGAAGCTGAGGCAGGAGAATCACTTGAACCTGGGAGGTGGAAGTTGCAATGAACCAAGATTGTACCATTGTCCTCCAGCCTGGGTGTCAGAGGGAGACTGCCCCAAAAGTACCAGAAGCATTTTTCAGGACTTACGTGTGTCTTGGTGATTATGTTAACCAAGTGTGTCCAAAAGAAATACCCATGAAATGCCTCCAATGGCCTCCAGATACAAGGGGCCCGCTTTTTTTTAAACTCATAAAGCTAAACTGCAAATAATACCCTAGAATTAACCTCTTGTCCTGTATCAAAGTCTTGTTTTGCATCTGGATTGTTAAACTCAGCTTCCCTGTGACAGTCTCAAACTGTCAGACATTCTCAAAGTTCATAGCCAAGGTGATCTGTTACCTTCCCCATTTCCAGGGCCAAATCTCAGTTCTTAAGCACATCATTTCTTAGCACGGCTTTATTTTCATGCTCTTTAGTTCTCTATTTTGTGCAGCTTTACCCCTTTAAAGTCCACTGTGAGTCCTACCCTGCAGACCCTCTTAACACAGTAGAGTTCATGTGCTACTGATTTGGTGCCTGCCTTCAAATACATCTGCAGGTTTTGTGGGGTTAAAAATAGCCACTTGCTGGAACACCACATTGGAAGTGCTGTTCACCCAGTTATTTGAAATGGTGTTTGACCACTTGGTGTGGAAATGGCCTATCGGATTAAAGGATGGCCAAACCCAAGATTTCCTCAGGTTCTTTGCCGCTCCATGGATCTAATTTCGAAATCCTGATCATTACTCATGAATCAAGGTGTTTTGACACAGGCACCCTTCCTGCAGCTCGTCGCCCGCGGAGTGGCCACGTTACGGCGGGCGCCGGAAGGGGGCGCATCCCTCGCCTTTCCCCAATGTGGCGGGCAGCCCCGTCTCCCCGCTCGGTTTCCGGGAGTCGGTGGCGATGGCGTCATCACCGAGCGCCGGGCCGACGGCATCGCGGAGGTCGGCTATGTGACCAGGAAACATGCTGAGCCGGCTTCAGGAACTGCGCAAGGAGGAGGAGACGCTGCTGCGGTTGAAGGCAGCCCTGCACGACCAGCTGAACCGCCTCAAGGTGACCCCGCGGCCCTCTCCCGCTCCTCCTCCATTCCTCCCGAGCGACCCCCCAACCTGGGCCTCTGCGGTGCAGACCCCCCAACCCCAACCTCGGCCTCTGCGGTGACCACCTGCTGCGGTCAGTTCTCCCCTACTCACTATCTGTGGTGGCGCCAGTTTACAGGTTTACAAACAAACAGGTATCTGAATCACCTGGGGAGTTTGCTGTGGGCTTCTTAGGCCCCACCTCTCAGAAATTTGACCTCGCAAGTCTAGGGTGAGGCCCAGGGATGTGTGTTTGGCAAGTGCAGTCCTACCTGCTGCTTCCTGTAAATGTTAATGGCCCTCAGACAGCAGTCTGAGGAAGTGCTCCCTCCCGAAGGCTCGCCTAGACCCCTCTGGCCACCGACCCCTTCCTCCTGAGCTGCTGTTTTCTGGTTTGCCTTGGCGCTTGAAACGGCTCTAGTTTTGCCAAGCCAGAAGGAACTCCCAGATCCTCCCATGCTACCAAGGAAGACACTGAGGCCATGGGGGAAGAGACTTGTCCTAACGTTTGGAGCTTCCAGACGCCATGGCCTTGAGGAGTCGGGATTTAGGCCCACGTGGGCCACTTCCCACACCTGTGCTTAATGCAGCCCCTCAGCCCGGGGTATATAGTGAGACCTCGTCTCTACAAAAAATTGAGACAGGGCCTCACTCTGTCGCCCAGGCTGGAATGCAGTGACACGATCTCGGCTCACTGCAACCTCTGCCTTCTGGGTTCAAGCGAGTCTCGTGCTTCACCTTCCCAAGTAACTGGGATTACAGGCGTGCACCACCATGCCCGGCTAATTTTTGTATTTTTAGTAGAGACGGGGTTTCGCCATGTTGCTCAGGCTGGTTTCGAGCTCCTGAGCTCAAGCCATTAGCCACCTCGGCCTTCCAAAGTGCTGAGATTACAGACTTGAGCCACCACGGCCGGCCTTACAAAAAAAAATTAAAATTAGCTGAGCGTGATGGTGCGTGCCTGTAGTCCAGCTACTTGGGAAACTGAGGTGGGAGGATAGCCAGAGCCCAGGAGGTCAAGCTGCAGAGAGTCCAGATTGTGCCACTGCACTTCAGCATGCGCTATACGGGGAGACTCTGCCTTTAAAAAAAAAAAAAAAAGTCCTGGGGAGGTTATTATGCTAATCCCTGCTCAGCATCCTTTTCAG